CATCTGGGTGGGGCCCCTGCCTGTGACCCAGAGCAGGGTCAGGCACGGGGCCCGCCTATCGCAGAGCGCATCGCTGCCACCCCGTGTCCCCCCACACCCCGGGGACTATGTCGTGGTCCCCATCGCCGCACAGGTGGAGCGGGCCTGCGATTAATATGGAGAATGAACAGCAGCTGTGCACGTGGTTCCGCCCGGAGAGTGGTGAGCCCACGGAGAGCGCGTTGATGTGTTGGCACGTTCTCGGTGCTAATCACTGCAAATGCGTGCCTTTATTAGAGCTTTAATGAGAGCCACTTCAACCGCGCATTAAGAAGAGCAACTGCGGAGAGGCCGCGGGCCGGGTGGCAGGCGGTCATAACTCTAATTGAAATGCTTTTAGTGCAGGGAAAGTGGCTGGAGCCGTGGCCCTCGAACTTGCCAGAGCTTGGCCACCATGCCTGTCCAGGCCGGCAGCTCTTGGAGGGCAGCGGCCTCCCCCAGGGCCGTGCTGCACGTCGTCCCCTGGGCCAGTAGGAGGGCGCCTGCTCAGCTGCTCCCCTCCCTGGGCACGTATTCGACCCATTCCCCCCGGCTCTCCGGGCGAGGCAGAGATCCGCCGGCTTCCGCGGGCAGCCCGTGGCAAAGGCTGGAGGCCTCATTCCCACCGTGGCAGGCATGGCACCTGCTCCTGGGCTCTTCTCCCTGTGTGGCTGCGGCACCCGGGCCCTGAGCGCCGACGGGCCAGCCAGGCCCTGCGTCTGTGGCGAGGTGCCCGCTCCCGGGGGCTGGCGTCCTGGCTGACCGCACCTGCCCTCTGTGCCCTAGGCTTCTTCCCCGGGAGCTCTCAGGGCTGCGACGCGTTCCTGCGGCACAAGATGACGCTCATCTCACCCATCATCCTGAAGAAGTACGGGATCCCCTTCAGCCGGGTGCGTACGGGCGGGGCACAGCCCGCGGGAAGGGGTGTTCTGGCGTCAGGCCCAGGGGCCATGGGCAGCCCAGGAGATGGAGTTTCTTAACCTTAGAGAAGGTTCCAGAACAGTGGGTGCTCTCCTGTGGGTATGAGGGTACCAATGGTGGGAGGATGCACTGGTGTCAGGCGGGGTCTCAGCTACTCTTCCTCACGCTCCCAAACCAAACCAGAACCACGTGCTGGTGTGGCCGTGGGGCCTGCAGGGCCTGCAGGGCGCCGTGGATCGGGGACAGGAACAGAGGGGCCGGGTGGCTCCTGCCATTCACCAGAAGTCATCGAAGAAGCCAGGGCCAGGACCATGGCCCCTTCCCAGATGGGAGCTGGTCCCGCTGCCGGGCTGTGTCCGCGGCTGCTGAGAGGCAGTGTCTATGCAGACGTGCAGGACCGGCTCTCCTGTCACGAAGCCTGCGCACTCCCTCGGCTTGCTGCCCCGCGACCGCACTTGTCCTCACGGAAGGCCCCGATGAGGGAGCCGGGCGCCGGCGTCTGGTTAAACGGCGCCCTCAGCCCCCCCGCGGGCCACAGGCACTGGGGTTTGCAGTCCGAGTGCGCGGTGTCCCCCCGAGCTCACAGGCCGAGTGCGCGGTGTCCCCCCGAGCTCACAGGCCGAGTGCGCGGTGTCGCCCCACCCCCAGCTCACAGGCCGAGCACGCTTTCCCCCGGGCTCACTGGCCGAGTGCGCGGTGTCCCCCTGGGTCACCAGCTGAGGCAGGCCTAGGGCAGCTCAGTGAGGGCCTCCCACCCCCGCACAGACAAGCCCCTGTGGAGCGGGACTCCAGCCTGTGTCCAAGGTGGGCCCCCTGACAAGTGCGTGGAGCCCCGCTCAGCGTGCCATGGGCCGCGGTGGAGTAGAGCCTTTTTTTTTTTGAGAGGTTTTTGCTATAGGGCACATGCGCTCGCCAGACAGACAGAGAGAGACAGAGAGACAGAAAGCGAGAAATCCCCCAGAGGGGATGGCCATGCCGTAATCCCTTCTCCTTCATTCTCCTGTCGGGATCTTGGGCATGCACGCACACATGCCCAGTGTGAGTTTAAGCCACCGGGGCTGGGACTCGAACCGCGGTCGACTACGTGGGAGTCCAGCAACATAGCCATTACGCCAACTGCTGGTCCCTGGAGTAGTGCCTTCTGAGAGCCTCGTGTTGAAGGTTTCCCGTGCAGAGCTGTTAGGCCCCGGAGTGGTTCCGTGGACCGCTGGCTCGGTCCGGATGCTGGGCGTCAGCAGGTCAGAAATTGCTCCTGCCGTTTAGGTCAGACCGCCCACGGCAGAGCCGCACGGTGCACTCCGTCGGCCGGGGCTGGGGCTGGGGCCGGGGCCAGGGCTAGGGCTGGCACTCGCAGCCCGCGGGGGTTCCTCCCTTCCTCTCTGGCCTGAGCATCGTGAGCCACCAGGAAGGCCGGGGTGAGACCGTGGTGTTGCTGTGAAGCAGAAGCGCTGGCCGGCTGGCCCGCCGGTTGAGAACGCCCTCCAAGGTGGCCTTCTGCAGAGGCGCTTGGCGGGTGCTGCCTGGGCGGCTCCTCCACGGCCCTCGGCGCCTGCTGGCCTCGCATACCGGGACCTGCGGCCCGCAGGTGGCCGGGCAGCCCTGTTCCCGCACCACGCCTGGCAGAGGCCCTTGTTGGCCGCAGAGAGCAGCCCGGGGCCACCTGGCCCGAGGGCAGTGCCCGGCCCCCACCCGAGCTCTTAGCCTTCACGCGACTGCCCGCGCCCCACGTGTCACCTGTAATGGCGCTCACTCCCGGCCTTTAATAGCGAGCTGTGCGTCTGCGATCTGCCGGAGCTCGGCAGAGGCCAAGGGGGCTTCCGGCACGCCGGCACGCCTTCCTGCCGAGTGCGGGCCACGTGGCCCATCTTGTTGCCCGGCACGT